ACAGGTGAAGTTTATGCCTTGTAGATTGGAATAAAATAGGTTTATAAATTCCCATTATCCCAAGAAGGTTCATACATTCATTTTCTTTTGTTCTCTCTGAGATTTCTTGGTGGCTCATATTTTAGTTTTCTTTAACAGGTTAACAGGGATTAGAATTTACCTTTTAAGACTTTCTGCGTCTTTGTTGTGTTACTTGCAAGGCAATTGTTACGATTCTTACTCCAAAATGGAAGCTTGAATGCTCTGCTGCTGGTGTATTTAATTTCTTACAATATGTTGTGGAAATTATATTCGTAGATAAGTACAATATTGCTTAAGATGGCTTGGGAATTTCTTGTAATGCAGTGTGTCATATTAAAGACTAGCAACAGATGACCCTGCTAAATTACATGTGGAAGAGGCACGGTGCGTAGATGTCTCAGAGATAAGTGTCTTCCCCTTGGGTGATAGAATTTAAAAGTTTGTTCTCTTTGCTATCAAAAGTATTTTCCAGGGTATTTCAAGTTACCATGTCTGGGCAGACATCATTTTCACAAGATTCTTACTGTTGCTTCTGAAACCTCTGTAGCATGAGGCTAGCTGGGACATCTAAAGTTTTGTTGACAGTATGTTGCTCAGGACTGTAGTCACTGCACACACTGTAGATTCGTTTGTTCCAAGAGTTCAGGTGATGGTCCTTTCTCTGGAATTCAACTTTAACGAATGTTAGTAATTTCTTGACCCTTTCTACAGACACGTTTCATCTTGATCTATGAGCAGAAGTGTTGAATCTTAGAGAGATACTTGAGAAGAAAGGATAGTCAGCATGAATAAAGATGACACAACTAGAATTTCTGATCCCTTTGAATAAAAGATCAAAATACTTTGAAAGTTGAGGTGGTGGTATAAATTTAAATAAGGGATTCCAAGTGATGTGAATTTTGCTTTAGATACTGAAAGAGGTTGTAAATCAGTTTGAACTTTCTTGGCAGGTGAATATTGACGTGGTTAATGAGGATTATGATTACTGGGAGGGATGTTAGGGAAACATGCATTTCAAATCACAAAACAAAAAGCAATTAAAGAGAAATGGTAATGGGCTAAAAACAATCCTGAGTCATGGCAATTTGTAATTTAACCAAATACAATAGTATTAAAGTCAGAACAAAAAGATTTATAGTAAAGTCTTTCATGCATGCCTCCCTTAAATATTTCAGAGATGCTTATCGGCATGTTATTTAAACACTAAACACCAATTAGAGAGAACCTCTTTTATCCTACTGTGTGCTTTCTTATACCATGGATATTGTTGGGTTTGTAAATTTTAATGATCCACGCAGAGGTTATTTACATGCTTGTGGAACATCCAGTTAAAAGGCTTTCCATGTTGTTTTGAAGTAAAATGCCTATTATCCGAAGGTACATGCCACACTGAAGAATATCTCTCCATTTAGGGATTTGTTTTTACAATTATATACTTGTTAGGAAGACTGTGGTGTTAAAATACTGAAAACAGTTTCAGAGAAGTATCCCTCCTGTATGCAGGCATAGTGAAAGAAAGAAATTTTTCATTTCTGTGGACATCAATGGCTGTATTTAGTTTGTCACTGCCTTGTTGTTCAGTCCCAGATCTGCCTTCCTCTTAGTTCTAGATGGAGCAACCCCTCCTACTTCCAGAAAGCCAAGGCAGCAAATCGATAAATAAAAGACTTGGGGTAATTGACTGTAAAACAGCATACCTAGGATTGTGTATCTCTAAAAACACATAAATCAAGCTTAGACGTTTTCTAACAGGCATGATCCACTTCAAACAGTTTGAGGTAGTCTGGGTAAGTCTCCTGTTCTCTTTTTTATGGGTCATCATCTTACATTCACTCTGTGGCCTCCTAGCCCATGAATCTTCATTCTCTTGCCAAGAATTCAGGCTGCACGTGACCTGCCTGTACCAGCAGTCTTCTGCAAGGAAGCAAGGGGACTATTGGGACTGTTTGCTGAGATGGTGCATTGGTTGGTGATAGACTTATTTCAAGGTAGATTTATGCTCTTTGCCTGCTTCTACCTGCTCTAAAGAATTTCTAGGAGCTCCATTTGTTTTCCTGAGGAGGGAATGGGCCATGGGGCATTTTTGCTGGAAATGGGTAGATGACAGATTCAGTTCTGTTCTGTCCTCCATCCTCCTTAAGGATCCCATGTACATTTTTGAGCAGTTCCTTTTAACATATTAGTAGTTTTTTATGATAGCATTGTGAAGAAGACAGGTCAGAGAACTTATTCCCTGCTTTCAGATTATGTAGTAAATATGTGTGCTATTCTAGGTGGCCACCTGTAATGTAGGAGAACCTTGGAGAATTAGTTTCAGCCAAAAGCTTAAGAGGTTTCCTGCATTCTGAACTTGGTGATGTAAATGTATGAATTCTGACTAGCATATCATCAAATCCAGCCAGAAGATCCTTGTACCCCTTGTTTCCATCTCATGTAAAGCTCAATCTTATATAATTAATAATTTCTTAAAGATTATTTAACTTTGAAAAGTTTGTTTGGATGAGAAATCATAAGACAATAATTTCAGAAGTTAAACTCAAAACTGAGGTGTGTGCAAAATGGATCTTACTGCTAAGAAACACATTTCCGAATACCTGGTGAGGAAAAATCAGCAAGGACTGATGTCACAAAAGAAAGTGTGTCTAAATTCCATATGCACACCCATCTGATCTGTAAAAAGAGTGATTATCTTAAAATTCTTTCTGAAAAGCAGAGGTAGTGTTAAAATTATTTAAAGTTGGTATTAATATATTCTGGAATTGTAGCCTATATATAAGGTTTGCTTTACAGACATACCTTCTGAACTTTCTGGGTGGACTAGCTGTGTGTATGTGTGTGTACATGTACGTACACCGCTACCCGCTTACACACACTGGTGAGCAAGATGAATAGGTCTGTTAGCTGACTGCACCATTAGGTAACAGTAAAGGTATTCATCTACAAATTCTGTGGCATAAATTTGCATTGGTAGTAGTTGCATCCATTAGTGCTACAAAAGACATCTAACAAAAGAAATGGAGACATGTTTTGTTCAGATTATTAAATGGGTTGGAAAGGTTAATAAGCCTTGAGCCAGAAAATGTTCTAGACTGATTTTATTTTTTTTTTTCCTTAGTTTTATAAAATAATTATTTCCAGGTACATTTGTCCCCTGAAAAGCAATTACCTTGAAAAAATAATTCCTCCTTGCCATCAGATTTATGCTTTCTGTGTGGCTAAAATAATTTTCCTCTAGTGCAGTAGTATTTGCAGAGGAAAGAGAATTAGTTAGCTTGTGGTTTTTATTGCCCATAATCAATTAGATAGTTTACTAAGTTGCAATTAGTTGCACTTTTCAAGACCCGCTGAAAGTAACACAATTACTTAACTGCTTAGAAGAGCCTGAGGTTACTGGGGTAAGTGAAGCAGCATAATTTGCCTTTCTAAAACATTTTCTATTGATTCCTCAAGCGAAAGGAAAATCTGAGTGAACTTACAAGGAAAACACTTAAGACTCAAACAAAGGTTTTCGCTTCTAACATTACACTTCTGATATCCAAATTACAGCAGCTAGAAGCATAGAACTTCAATTTATGTTCCTACACAGACATTTTTCTGGGCAGAATTATAATTCATCACTGTAGAGTTTCAGGACATGGTACCTCTGAGGATCTAATTTAGAATGGGATGGATGACATCCTGAAAGACCCTGGGAACTACTCAGTTGCCAAAGTTCAGACACCTAATACCACACTGGGTGCCCTAAGGTGGTACTCCTGGCTTACAGCTGCTGACTCTTATGTAAAGCTCTGGTCATGCACATGACTTGGATACCCTCAGATATCCAAAATGGCAAGAGATATCTAGGCTCCTACACTGAAAGTCTTAAGAGCAGACTTTTTAGGCCTTTAGAATCATCTGTTCCCTAGAAATTCAGGCTATCATTAATACCAGTTGTTTTCTCAACTTAGAAAGCTGTAAGCAAAACAAATACATTTATCTCATCACTATTAGTTAACAGTCAAAACAGTCAGTATGTAGGCATGGTTGTCCTAGAGTCAGATGCTTGGTATTTGACGAAACAGACTGTCTTATTACCTCTACTTTAGAAGGAGGTTTTCCCTAAATATACAATTTGATTTAATTGGACTTTACAAGTATGCAAATACTTAATACTGGCGTTTTATATTTTTTGCTGTCTGTTGTGGTAAGAATGATAATAACGAATTCTTGGCAGCAGCTTTTGAACTGCAGATTATTTTTACCAGGATCCAGAGAGACAGAGCTGGAGCATGCAAGTCTAGGGATGATATTTTTCAGTAATTAACCTAATTTTCAAGATCAGCAAAATGGCTTTGCTACATTGAGGCTTTGCAATAGGATGGCTGTGGTGTCTTAGCGTTGTCCCTGAGGTGGCAGGTTACCTGAAAGACATTACCCTGGGGAACTTCAACACAGGTTTTAGGTTGAAGAACTACTAGCCCAGAAGGACAAAGTGAGCAATACTGGCTTGTGTATTTTCTATTGAGATTGAGAATTTGGACTTTTTATTTGTTTTCTAGAGGTGTCACTTGAATTGATGATTGTCTATATTTGAGAGTAGAAAAAAGTTCTTTTTTTCACTTGTTATTTTAATTCTTCAGAAAACAGAAATCTGTCAATTTTATTTATATGCCTAAAACAAAGCTTTTATTGTTTGTCTGTAGATCATTATTGTATGTCACAGCCTGTGGATAATTAGGTAGAGAAAACCCTCTTTGAGTCGCGAACAGGAGGCTATGTTGACTTTTCATTTGGTAGTATGGCGGAGAGTTAGTTGTTTGGCTTTATTACAAAAAGGAAAACACTTCTTAGAAGTAATCATACTGAGCATATAGCTGTTCTGATTATATAAATACAATTGCAGATTTTAACACTATTCCTTAAACTGTCATCTCAGATGGTGGGCTGCAGAAACATTTTCACACTGTGCTTATGACTGATTTTTCTTTTTTCCCCAGACCCAGGCTATGTATGATGTTACCCAGTATGAGAATATTTTTCCTTTGTGCATGACTCTGGAACAACTTCTTCAAAATGAGACAGAAGAAAGTAATGTTTCAAGCTCAGACTATGATGGAGAAGAAAAAATCAAATTTCTGAAGAACCTTGATCAAATTATTCTTCATCTCTCAGATGAATTCCCTTTGTTTTCTTTATATTTATGGAGAGTGAGCGTTCTTTTGAACTCAGCTCAAATTGAAATTGATTAAAACAAGCAACCTACTTTTTAACAATGTATTTGTTGTGGGATTGCATTGGAAAATTTTTGAGCCAGACAGGAAAATTGTCGTTATTGGAAAACATTTACTTTAAACTACTATGCTACACAGCCGTTTCAGAAATAATGCAATTTATTTCCAATTTTAAATATAGAAAAAATGTAATAATCCAGGTGCCGGTTTGAATAAAGGCTGTTTCTCATAATGAAAAACAGTACGTTGGTGTTTGTGTACACAGTGAAAATGACAACAAAGTTGTTTCAGGTGATGTTTAAAATAAACACTACGGATTTTAAAGTCCAGACATAATGTGTATGTAGAGCTTCCAAGTTAGGAAACTAATGCCTGTCTTAATTTTAAGAGTTGTGTAGCTTCTGCATGCTTTAGAGACAATGGCTGTTTGGCAGAAATAAAAATGTTTATTTTTAAACTTGGTAACTTATCACTACAAATTCTTATAGGACATACTTAGTTTCTGATTTAATCTAAAGAGTCATTACCTGAGCAAAATAAAATCTGGTTCTCAGTTTTACAACTTTCTTACATTCATCGTATACTGCTTGGCTTGACTTGTGTATGCACAAGCGTAGGCACAGTAGGCCTAATTCGCTCAGAGTTGACTAAGGATTTCAAATATTTAATCTGAATAAATTTAACTGCTTTAATGATTACTTTAAACCTTTCTGTTCAAAATTAATGAATATTGATAAAATCCCCTCTGTATATTTATAATGTATTATTTGATTTTTAAATTATTTCTGTCTGAAGGAGATATATTCATAGTAATAGTTAAAGTAACATATTTTAACAGAAACCATCTTAAAACATAAAAGGCCTTTAAAGTATGGGTTCAACAATACCTTAACTGATCCAGAGGGTAACTGTTATGATGAATGGCATTTATGTCTAACAGATAAACAACATTTTAGTTTTGTTATGTCACCTAGTGGTGTACATTCACCATAAATATAAAACATTTTTAGCATTAGTCCTTATCGTTCCCCTTGCACTTGTTTCATCAGAACAATATGTATATCAGAAAAATTCTCTGGAATGCCACTTCTTTTAATGTTGTAAATAATTTCTCTTGTTAATTTGAATGCATTTATTTCAGGTAATAAACCTTTGTTTTCTATATGTGGAAAATATATTAATATTTACAAAACAAGTTACTTTGATATTGAATTGGCTCCCCAAAGGGTGATTCTTGTTCAGACACTGACCACTGTTCTGTTTCTTAAACTTTGTATTTGGTATGTCATATGGTAACATTTGTTTAATGCTTTCTTTTAGCAAACTCTCTTTCAACAGAAATGTTTGATTTGCAAAACAAGTGTTACTGAATATTCACATTAGAAATCAGATAAATTTAGCCAAATTAAAAAAAATAAAGTTATGTAAGTATGTAAGTTTGGTAGCCACTCAGGAACTACTGTGCCCTCTTTATTGCTGCTTTACGTTTTTGTTTGTTTCATGGAGGTAGAGAATCAGTTCTTCCACTTCCCTCCGCAGTGCTAAAAGTATGATTATAAAAAGGTCAAGGAAAGAAATAAACAAAAGGAACTGGTATCTAATTGATAAAATAATTTTCATTTTTAAAAAAAATTCGTTCAAAAGTGTTTTGTAAAGAAAAGGTACAAAACACAGGAGGATACTGGAATCTGTATAATAGCAGAATGTGTTATTGTTCTAAAGAGCAGTGTCAACACTAGGTTACACACCACTGCATGTTTGCAGATCTATTGGCAAAATATTTTTATTAGTAAAGCAATTTCGGCACAAAGGGATGCATATTTTCTTATTTGCAGATTGTAGCATTTTCTCACCAGCAAGCCTTGTAGGCCACTGGAAGAGCAATGGATATTTGGGAAATAGATGCATCCTTGATAAGTTCTGAAGTAACTGCTGACTTGTGACATGATTTTTGAAATCTTTTTCACAACATACAGAGAGAGGGGGTATTGTGTCCAGAGACAGAATAACTACATGGCACTTAAGCTCTGACAGGGATTTGAAACAGTTTATTATGCAGCATTGAAAGTGTTGGAGTAGCGAGAGTTCCCCTTGTAATGCCACTGCAGTGATTTAGACACATACTAACCTCTCTGTAAAAGTGCTATTAACTGGTCACGCGGGCTCTCCTTATCTGTTTCAGTGCAAAATTAAATAGTGCAGTTGAACCACGTTAATGAGCATATCTCAGCTTTGGTGGGAGCAACAACCTCTGCAACCAGAATAGTTATTAGACAGATTGTTGTCTCGTGTTTCTTGAAGAAATTTTTCACCAAGATCGGACTTGCCTCCAGATGAAGATATGCGAAGGTAGACATGTGCATTTAGACGGCTGCAGGTAGTTGGGATGTCTAAGCTAGGAAACACTTACAAAGTGCCCTAATGTTTTGGGCTGGATCTCCAGCTGCTACCCCAAAGGACTGCAGATCTTCTAAGTCCTGTGTCACGTTTTCTCTCTTCGTGTAGATGCCTCTGGTACCGTGGAGCATCTTTGGTGGCACTGTAGCTAAATGTGTCTCCTTAGGCAACTGAATCAAGCAGTGATGATAGCATGGGCTTAGATATGTAGCTCACTGACACGAACATCCATTTAGGTATCTTAATGTGAGAACTAAATCCCACCTGTGTGATATCTGTTTTTCAGAGTAGGAAATCCTAGGTTTAAGTCCACGGTTTTCAGACAGTTTCTGCTCTTGTCCACTGACTGTTAGATGTAACTTAAGTAAACATTGCTGTCTTTAGGTTTGAAATAAAACAGGATGACTGAGCCGGTCCCTGGAGTTAGCTGTTACAAGTGAGGATTTGCAACCCGGTTGCAAGAAACCTTCCTGCAGCTTGAACTTTTAAAGTACTTGCTAAATAGATATGTCAGCTTCTAACTTTTACATATCTGGCCTCCAGAGAGGAGTCCTATATCCAGAGAAAGTACCTATGGTCCTTGCTGAGTGGAGACTGTTAGATGTCTCAGAAGAACAATCTCAAAGTCCCATGTGCTGAACATAACATGTTGTAGACATAAAGAATAGGAAACACTAAAAAAAAGAACTTAGTCTGACATTTCATTGCTCCATGGAGTGTTTCACCTGAATTACCCTTACAGTTTCAGAATTAACAGTTCAAGTGTATTTCATTTGTCTTGCTGATTTCCTTTTTGTAAATACATGTACTTTAGAATTTAGCAAAATGCTGATGTTCTGCAAATGCAAAATTTCAGGCTTTTATGTATGTATACACACACACACACACACACATATGGTTGAATTATATATTTATGTGGTTGAATTAGCAGTGCTTATTAATTAGTAGCCTAATAGCAATTTATGATTTTGTTATTTGTTACTCTACCACATTCTTAGCTTCCCAGGTGACTGTTTTGTACCTGTCGCCATGTATTTTTAAAAAATTTTACAGTAGAGTGTCTCTCTGTAAGAATAGAAAAATTATGAGACAAGGAAAATAAATGTTTATTCTAGTGCTGCTCCATTGACTGTTCTATTCGCTAAAGAATTTTATATGCCTGTAGACAGCAGTGAGTGGGATTTTGAAGTGAACTGTCTCAGAATATTTTTGTAAACTTAATTTGGAATCTTTTTATAATCTGTTTGTGATTTCCTGGTTACTTTTGAGGTGGTTATTGCTTGTATATGTTGGTGGTAGTGGAAATGAGATTGTACCATATTTTAATCCTGTAATTTTATTTTTTCTTTCAGTTATCTATGCATTACTAGCTGATACATAGTAACACTTTATAGTTTACTGTGGCACAATATTCAGCTGACGTTCACATGATCATAGGAGAATTCAGGTTGGAGGGGACTTCAGGGTCTCCAGTTCAGTCTCCTGCTCGAAGCAAGGTTAGCTGTGGGGTCAAACCAATTTGTCTGTTGCTGGTTCAATATTCAGTCAGGTATTGGAAACCTTGAAGGACAGAGACTGCACAACTTCTCTGGATAACCTGCTCTTCTGCTTGACTGTCTTCATGGTGAAGATGTTTCCCTTACGTATAGTCTGAATCACTGTTTCATTTTATGATCAGTGTCGTTAGTCTTCCCACTACCCAGAGCCTGGATCTGTCCCTTGATATCTTCGCTGTAGGCACCAGAGGCTGCTGTTAGGTCCCCCTGAAACCATCTGTTTCCCACGCTGAACAAGTCCACCTCCCTTAACCCACCTCACAGCACAGATGCTCCCACCCCAGCCATCTTGGTAGCCCTCCACTGGACATGCTTCAGTTTATCGACATCTTTTTTTACTGGGGGCCCAAAGTGGGCAGAAGTAGTTTAGATGCAGAATGACAAGTGCTGAGTAGAGCGGCCTAATCCCTTCCCTTGATCTGTGCTCCTGCTGACACAGCCCAGGATGCTGTTGGCCCTTGCTGCTGCCAGGGCCACTGCAGGCTCACGCTCCACTCACTGCCCACTGAGCTGCTCCCCAGCCAGGCACTCACAGCCTGTATCACTGCAAGAGGCTCTTCCTCCTCAGCTTTGACACTTTGCACTTGTTCTGCCTGAATTTCGTAGTCTCCATCAGCCCATTCTTTCAGCCAGCGTCGGTCCCTGTAATGACAGCTTTGCCCTCAAGCATATCAACTAGGACCACCAATTCTGTGTCATCTGGAAATTTGATAAGGGTGCACTCTATGTCCTCCTCCAGGTCACTGATAAAGATGTAAACAGGACACATCCCAGGATAGCTGCCTGTGATACTCCACTTGTGACAGGCATCCAGGTAAAGTACAACCCATTAACCACTACACTGTGAGCTTGATCATCAAATAATTTTTTTACCCACCTGGTTTTTAACCTATCCAGACCCATCCTACTCTTGCTTTGCAAGGACACTGACCAATTCTGTGAGCACTTGTTACAGAGAAGTAGAAGACAACCCTCCTGCCGAGTCACGAGGTTCAGACTGAACCCCCTTGCTTTCTAAACTTCCAGTACTTCTCCATTTGGCTAAGCAAAAATTCAGCTAAAGTT